TATTCCTTGTATTAATCTGTTTCCAGTCAGGTGCCTGAGCCAGAAGCACAGGACCCACTACAGCCAACATGCAGCAACTGTCTAGTACTAGATATCAATTAAAAATCACAGACATACATAAAACATTTAAAGAAATCTTTAAAGGGATTATCTAGGTTGCAGCATATTTTGATGAGTTAAACAAGCATCAAGTGTGTTTAACGTTGGTTAAATGTCTAATCCTCCTTTTTTTTGAGGACAAAACAAAAATAAAAGCACATCCATCTGGAGATGGAAGTGTCTCAGGCAGCTTTTCAGCACAGGAGGTGGTTCATGAAGGCAACTACGGTTTGCACCCTCTGCTCTCTCTACCCAAACACCCTGGGAACTATGGTCTGCTATGAGTAGATGCTGTTCCAGATTCATTTGGTATACACAAAACCTAGTTGTGGCTTAATAACTGCAGATAAAATATACTTTAGAGAAATTTTTTGAAGGCCTTATAAAATGAGATGGTTGGTAAAGAACAGCCTCAGTAAGCACAAGCTGCTCCCAGTGTGGTGGTACAGAGTGTAACCATAATACAGGGTGAAAACTGCCAGGTAATCAGGTACCCTCAGTACCTGATCTGACAGTAAAGACGAGAGAATTCTTGCTAATTCTTGACTGTTATGCTCATTACATCGCCCAAAATTATTTATTTCGAAGGTCAAAAACTGCATTCTGGTGGGAAGCATTTCTTCCTTCAGTACCCAATTAATTTAATTCCCATTTTCAGTCTTTCCTTCTAAATGTTCTACAGTGACCTCTATGCTTTCACTTCTCTCTGCCTTCCACTGCTCTTTACTGTCTAGTTCTCTTTATTCAAGATATTCTAAAAAAAATTCACACATTTTGCAAAACTAACATGAAGCAAGATTGCATTCTTCCACGCTCAGTGATTTCTCAGTCCACGGCTCATGAATCCATTTTGAATTATATTTTCTTCCCTCCACAAGATGTATCATATTCAGCTCATTTAATTAAAATTTACTGAGTCATTATCCAAATCTTCTACATACTGAAAACAGCACCATTTAAAAATAAATTAAGAATACAAGCAACAGTGCCATCAAAGTGAAAATCCTTCAGGCTTTACTACAGTAATGTGGTCAGTATTTCCAGCAAAACAGAAGTTCTCTTATGACAAAACACTACAAATACATTGAAGTAATGGATTATTTGTCTTCATTGCTATTATTCAAATGGGAATTTTCTTAAAACATACTGATTCTATCCATATTGCTGCATCTTATGTGACACTTTCACTTTTACAGCTGACATTTAAGCACTAGTTCTATCCTGATGCTAAGCCGTTTGGCCTCTAAGCCTTCCACTAAGCCTTCCCAGTACAGGTATGGTCCAAACCAGCATGGTCTAACCACGGCATCTATACCAGGGTATTGATGGAATGTGCTGGCACATCCTCAGAAGAGGACACACTCCAACATTTTTGTGTGCTTACAAGAAAACCAAAACATTACATTGTTCCTGTTCTCCACCAACGCTGAATAACTCCACTACACCACAGGGAGACCTACCAAAATCAACAAGAACACGGTTTTAGCTACTCAAGGGCAAATAAATTTGGGAAACTATACATGTATTTATCCAGTGCAAGAGCTGTTCCCTTGCAGGAACTGACTTACAGAGACAAAATAACTTGCTGCACTCTTCGAAGACTCTGATTTCCCCGTTGCTCTTTACAAGCAAATGGCAACTGTAAGGGAGGAGAACATCAGTCTCCATCTCACACAGTCTCTGTCTCTCCTAAGGAGTGCTCTGTGCACCTGAACCCTACCACAGGTCTGAGCTCCAAACGTAACGAAGCTCATTCTGCCTCCCCTCTCTCCTAGGTAAAGAGCACGCTGGGCCTGTGTGGTCAGCACGACTTTCGGGAACTCGTTCCTCTCTTTTTCTGCAATTAGAAAAGACACCCCCCCAACAGACTTCTCCATTTGAAACGTAGTTAATGGCTGAAAAACATAGTGCTAATTGGAAACCCTTTCCTGAATTGCAACAATTCTAGAACTCCAAGAAATTCATGAATTGCAATTATTCATAGCCGACAGTAATGAACGCCAGTGCTTTCTGCAAAGAATCACATTTCTGCTTTTTTTCTGAAGGCGAGTGTACGTTATTTAGATTAATTCAGGATTATTGGCCTGTTATTATATTTCCTCTGTAAACCATTTATGGTGGGCTGTCAAAAGTACAGCAGGAGCCACTTTGGACCATATCTTGGAAACACTTGGACTTTGCAGAACTGAAAGCAGTAATTTCATAGAATCACAGAATGGTTTGGGTTGGAAGGGACCTGAAAGATCATCCAGTTCCAACCCCCCTGCCATGGGCAGGGAAACCCTCCACTACACCAGGTTGCCCAAAGCCCCATCCAACTTGGCCTTGAACACTTCCAGGGATGGGGCAGCCACAGCTTCCCTGGGCAACCTGTGCCAGTGCCTCAGCACCCTCAATGTAAAAAATGTCTTCCTTGTATCTAATCTGAATCTCCCCTCTTTCAATGTAAAGCCATTGTCCCTTGTCCTATCGCTACACACTGTTGTAAAATGTGTCTCTCCAGCTTTCTTGTAGACCCCCTTTAAGTCCTGGAAGGCTGCTGGAGGGTCTCCCTGGAGCCTTCTCTTCTCCAGGCTGAACAACCCCAACTCTCTCAGCTTGTCGTCATAGGAGAGGTGCTCCAGCCCTCAGATAATCTTCATGGCCCTCCTCTGGACCCATGCCAACAGGATCATGTCCTTCTTATGTTGGGGTCCCCAGAGCTGAATGCACTGCTCCAGGTGGGGTCTCATAAATCTAAGCAGGCAGCATTGTGTATGCTCAATACATTTTCAGAAACTGAACATTACTTTCTTTAGCCTGGTACCATCACTACGAAAACTACTGTGGTCCCAGTGAAGAAAGAGCTGCACAGATGAAGATGACAGCAAGTGCCCAAACCTTTTGGGTACAAGGAAAAAGCTCTAGCCTTACAATGGAGCAAATAATGGTCCCAATTGCAGCCTCCAAAAATTTTAATCTGTCTGGTAGGATTTTCTGCGTTCAGAAGTTCCAAAACAAAACCATAACACGGTGTTTTACAGGAAGAGGACTGGAAGAATTTCACCTGGTTCAGAAATAGGTTCTCGATGACAGGCTAAGCTTTGTGCAATCTAACACAAAGTCCTGGAGGAGCAGGGGGACATTCACGAAATCACACCACGTGCCATGGCAATCCTGCTTCAAAACCAAAGCGTTCAGTTTCCTCAGTCTCATGTCTGGACTTTTGGACACTTCAGCGATACTGTTAGCCCTGAATTACCCTAATGAGCACAGGGTGATCGCAGAGCGTTGCAAGAGGAACACTGGCAGTCATCCCATCCTCACCGCTCCCAGGCAAACCCTACGACCTGCTGCGGCTCTGGCTGTGACTGCAGTCTGTATCCAACCCGGATACTCCAGCAACTGCTTGGAAAGGCAGTAATCCCTAACGCTGGCGAGCTGCAAAGCAAAATGGCTGCTCCAGAGCCCAGAGAGGTGCACTTCTGCATAGCTCAATTACACAATTTAATCAGTAGGCTTGTGCAATTTTAGTTTATGACTAATTCAATAATGCTTTAATGGTTACTGCTGGAAGAAATATTTACATGTTGTTGGAAGTCAATAGCTGAGGATATAGGTGAATCACAGACGCTTCACCGAGAATTACCAACACCAAAACACATTCACTATCATGTAAACACTAAAGAAACAGCAACCTACGTTATGGCTGGCATATAAAGTTCATGGTTGCTTGAAAAACACCTGAAAATGTATTTTCATTTGCTTTTCCTGTTTTCATCTCAACAACATGCACATGAAATTAAGTACACACATGAAGAAGTACATTTATAATGAGTACACGTCTCATTTTCTTTCACACACCTCTTAGTTCTCGAAGTCATACAACCTTAATCTTTTCAATCACTGAACTGACTAGAGATCCATTAGTCACGCTTCTAAGTATTTTCATCGACCATCCCTCATCTACCTCTACCACGCATTTCTGAGAAAAGATGACCAGCACTTCACATAACATCCAAGGCAATGAATTTTTGTAATGGTATAACAAATTTTCTAGTTATTTTCTGTTCTGTCTCATACATATCACTACTTTATTATTTAACTGATAACGCACACTGAGCAGATGTTTACACCTACCTGTGCCCAGTGATGCTTGCATCACTTTCCTAAGTGCTTGCAGTTAATTTACAAGGCTTGGATACAAGTGGTTTTACTGTTTTGCTTTTTCTTTCCAAAGGGTATTACACATTTGTCAATATTGATTTTCATCTGTCACCATTCAGCTCAAGTGTTTGGGTTTATGAGTCTATCTTGCAATCACCTGGAAAACCTTGCATAATTTTTGTGTGTGTGTGTTTGTCACAGTTTGTCACAATACTGAGTCATCTTTGTAATAACTTTTCCCATGTAAACACACACAGTACTAGAACAGTAAAAATAAAAATATTACAAGAGTAAAAGTGCTATTCTGGACCTCCCAATTATTAACTTTTGCCAGCTGCAAATTTTTTCTTTTTAAATCTCCTTTTTTCTCTCAGCCACATTATCACCATGGCTGTAATATGCCTCGTCTGCCTCCTTGCCAGCATTTTCAGAATATTTTATTGAAGGCTTTTAGTACTGTTTTGTAAGCTTTGCATTTCCAGTTTTCTATCAGTACCTGCTTCTCTCTAATCAGGCCAAACTCTACATTAAATTGAAAATAAAAGTTAGCCCTTGAGCTTAAAGAAAGCTGTATCCATGCACTCTCAGTGCTCGGATACAATGACAATTAAAAGGCAATCAAACAACTTCCCTCAGCTAGACAGACTTCAGATAGTCTGCACAACTATTTGGATCTACAGACCACATTATTGCATAGAAAGACATAAACAAGCTTTTTTTAAGATTAAACCAAATAAACCAATATAACTTGATACCTTTCATTTTCGTGTAGCTGCTCACCTCCCTTCTTCCAGGAGCATTTGGCCTTAGGGGAAGCTTTTGGTTTGCATTCAAAATTAACTGTGCTGCCTATTTGAACCTGGATCAGTTTCTTCATTGGATTCTTGGAAAAATCTGGAGCAGAAGCTAAAACAGAAGGGATAGGATAGTACTAGTGAAATAAAGCACTTCTAATTATATTAATGATACTACTATTTAGCACTTACACAGCTCTTCTTAGATTCCAAACATAATTAAACCCATGAATTAGTTAGTTCAAATGGATCTTTTACTGGACAATTCTGCATTTCTCCTCCTTACACTGGTACAAAGCGAAGGTCTCCGTTGTGCAGAGCACGTCTCCTAACGAAGCACGCCCAGAAGATGGCAATTACTTCATCTGAGCTGACGCTCACTGAACCCAACGAGCGTTAAGCACTTGCCCAACTTTACGCTTTGCTGAACGTGAGCGTACATGACTTGCCCAAATCCAGGGAGGGCAGTCAACACCAACAGTCTCATTAAAACTCAAGGAACTAGTTGGCTTCCAGTTTTGTGTGGGAGTGCAGTGTTGGATTAGATACGTTAGATGACATCAAATTACAGAGCAGCTCGTTCTCAAGGGGCAGAGTCTGCGTTAGGTAACAGTTTAGGAAAGTCACACGGCTTCTATCCAGAGCAACACTGAACTTTTGAGAGGAAATCCAGTATTTCAGGCGACGAAGGCTGAAGGAGCAGTCTGCTGACTGACTGGAACCTAACAATAGAAAGGAAACGGCTCGTGTCCCCAAAACACACTGCTCTCACAGGCTTAGTTTTCACATCAGTCTATGCTGGAGGCAGAAATCGCACCAGCGTGGGAGCACACAAGCGCGGCACTTCCCTCCAACGAATGGATGTCACTATTTCACACTCAAGCACGCACCGTTGGAATGCCTGAATGACAACCCCTTGTGCTCTGGATGAAGGGCTGCACACAAGAGCATCCTATTGCTTTTAAACGACACGGCTCCCCGGCAGCTCGGGAGCCGCAGCGCAGAAGGTGAGCGCTGCCTCCAGACCATGGGAGCATTTTTAATCTCTGGGCCTGTGTCCAAGCCCCCATCTCTCCTC